ATGAGAGCACTCACTGGGTTTAGAATGTATATTTAAATACTAGGCAAACAAATCAACGTTTCGACCGTCAAGCGGTCTTTATCAAGATATTGGAAGCTAACTATCTGCAAACTAGGGGCACAGCAATGGGTTCGACATGTGCCCCTAGTTATGCTAACTTATACCTGGACTGGTGGGAAGCCACAGTCCTCTTGGAAAGGACAGCAATAAGATTTGATGAATACATTTTTAACTGGCATCCTTCTGATGACATCCTTGTGTTTTGGACAGGTTCCATTTCTCAATATGAAGATATAGACATAGACACACACACATAAATACGGGGCCCCATGGATTGTTTGTACGCCATTGCATACATAGACACACATGTACATACATACAGACACACACACATACAGAGAGAGAGATACACATAAAGAGAGACACACACACACAGAAACAAACACACAGACAGACACAGACACACATACAGAGACACACATACATACAGAGAAACACACACACAAAATGTTTCCTACCTTGCTACTTTTCCTGGGGTCCAGTGATGGCTCAGTCTGATGGGAGTCAGAGTTCCCACTCTGACTCCCTCCTCCTCCTTCCTCCCGTGTGGGCTGATAGCTGGGAGGAGTGACTGGGGAATCACTTCTTCCCAGCAGTGACGTAATCACAGGGGACCCGGTCGCGCTCTTAAAGTGCCCAGCGCTGACCGGGCCACCTCACAATCCATATCCATTGGGTGGCCCTGACAGCATGGGCCACCCGATGGACACCTCCATGTGCGGCCCCGGTTGTTTGCCGTGTGGGCTGGGGCCGCAAAATGTGGCAGCTGGCCTGGTACCTGGTCGCAGGGGTCCGCAGGGCGGCCGGGCCCCCTGGAGTGCCGGGCCAGGTTGCAGCTGCGACCCCTGCAACCGCGGTATGTACGCCACTGGGTGGCAAAATAACAACAGAATTGTACAGGAAACCCACATCCTGCAACAATTTTCTTCATTGGAACAGCCATCATCCTTATAAACTTAAAGCCGGAATTCCATATGGGCAATACCTGAGGGCAAGGAGAAACTGCTCCAGTGAGTATTCCTTTCAAAAAGGAGGCAAAGGAACTACAAACTCGTTTTAAAAAAAATAGGGATATCCAAATAGAACCCTCAAGACTGCTTTTCAACGACTCTCCAAAATGGAGAGGACAAGTATCCTTAGAAATCACAAAGTTCAATCTCAAAAATCGTTCTACAAGGAAGTAAGTAGAAGTATAGATCAGGGTGTTGCCGTGGATGTGATCTATTTGGATTTTGCCAAGGCATTTGATACAGTTCCACACAATAGATTAGTGTTCAAACTCAAGGAAATCGGTCTAGATGAAAATGCTTGTTCTTGGGTAGAACATTGGCTTAAAAACAGAGTACAAAGAGTTGTTATTAATGGTAAATTTTCAAGCTGGACAGAGGTGGCAAGTGGTGTCCCTCAGGGGTCTGTTCTGTGACCCCTTCTATTTAACATGTTTATAAATGATCTTGAAGACCGCATTGAAAGTCATGTTTCAGTGTTTGCAGATGACACAAAACTTTGTAAAACAATACAATGTGAGCAAGATATTACTTTGCTGCAGAGGGATTTAGATAGACTGGAGGACTGGGCACTCAAATGGCAGATGAAATTTAATGTTGAAAAATGCAAAGTTATGCACTTCGGCGTAAAGAATACACAAGCAACGTATACCCTTAATGGAAGCGAATTAGGGATAACAACACATGAAAAGGACTTGGGAATTGTTATAGACAACAAACTATGCAACAATGTGCAATGTCAATCAGCAGTGGCCAAGGCCAGTAAGGTATTGTCATGCATGAAAAAGGGCATTCATTCTCGGGACAAGAATATAATTTTGCCTCTTTATAAATCACTGGTAAGACCCCATATTGAATATGCTGTGCAATTTTGGGCACCTGTTCTAAAAAAGGATATTATGGCACTAGAAAAAGTGCAGAGGCGGGCTACAAAATTAATAAAAAGAATGGAACATATCGGCTATGAAGAAAGGTTAACAAATTTAAACCTATTTAGTTTAGAAGAACGTCGCCTGAGAGGGGATATGATAACATTATACAAATATATTCGGGGCCAATACAAACCATTGTGTGGAAATCTATTCACAAACCGGACTTTACATAGGACACGAGGCCATGCGTTTAGACTGGAAGAAAGAAGATTTCGTCTAAGGCAAAGGAAAGGTTTTTTTACTGTAAGAACAATTAGGATGTGGAATTCTCTGCCTGAAGGAAGTGGTTTTATCAGAGTCCATACAGATGTTCAAACGGCTACTAGATGCATACTTGCAAGAACAGAATATTCAAGGATATAATCTTTCAATGTAGGGTAATAACTGCTTGATCCAAGGATAAATCTGACTGCCATTCTGGGATCAAGAAGGAATTTTTTTCCTAGCTTGTTGCAAAATTGTGCTTCAAACTGGGTTGCCTTCTTTTGGATCAACAGCAAAAAACAAATGTGAGGTAGGCTGAACTTGATGGACGCAAGTCTCTTTTCAACTATGTAACTATGTAACTATGTAAAAATCAACAATAAGATGCATAGGTACATATGACCAACTTTGGGACCTAGTCCGAAAAATATTTGCTGAAAACTGGCCTTTACTCATGCTTGATAAAGATGTAGCTGACAATCTCCCTAAATTTCCGAGCATCACCCCACGTAGTGCATTCAGTTTGCGCAATTTATTGGTCCACAGCCACGTAGAAACACAAAAACCGGGGCGGCGCCTGACTTCTGGCGCGAATGGCGGCTTTCTAAGGGAGCTCCGTCCTCGAAGGCACAGACCCGGCGACCATCAGCACCCGCAACCGGCTTTCTCACACCCACCCGACCACCTCGTATCTCATCCACGGTACCCCACTAAATAGCGATGGGGGGCGGGCGGAAATCGAAGCAGGGAGCAGAAGTAGCTCCGATATTCCGGAGCCGCAAAGATGGCGGCGCCACGCGGGAAGAAGAAGAAGGCCGCGAATACGACTCTGACTCTGCAGCCAGTGACAGGAGCAGAACAATGACAGCTACCCACCTCACCAAAGAGGACCTCCGCCAGCTACTAAGTGAAATCAAGGCAAATATGGCTACAGAATTTGACAGGCATCTCACACCCATCAGAGAAGGCCTGATTGACTTAACCCACAGAACTTCCACTATTGAGGAACAACTGGACCGGACAGTTACACGCACAACAGCAACTGAAAATGCCATAACCGCCCTACAAGAACAGCTCCGCCAGCTAGAAGAGGCACAAAAGGACCTGAACAACCGGTCCCGCTGAAATAACATAAGGATACGTGGAATACCAGAAACAGTCACAATGGAGGCACTGGGCCCAACGCTACGAGAGCTCTTTTGTGGCCTGCTCCCAGAGGCCTTACCGGCGGAACTCCTACTGGATAGAGCGCACAGGGCTCTCCGAGCACCTATGCCCAATGCAACCCAACCCAGGGATGTCATCATAAGAGTGCACTACTTCCACATTAAAGAGGCACTCATGCAAGCGGCACGAAACACCCCATTACAAATAGAAGGTCACCAAATCTCCTTCTACCAGGACCTGGCCCCGAGCATCCTGCGCAAAAGGAGGGAGCTGCGGCCCCTCACTCAGGAGCTCACGAGGCAACACATCCGCTACTCATGGGGGCACCCATTTAAGCTGCAGGTCCGGAAAAACAACCGCACCTACACCCTATACAACACCGCGGAAATGGCGGATTTCGCAGAGAGCCTTGGCCTGGATCCCACAACTCTCACCACGGATCTGAATCCCAGAAGACACGACAGAGGCCCTCCGCCCAGAAATGCACCACCGCTAGCCCCGACACGCCAGATACCGAATAGCCCACGCATCAGGGCCGACAACTAAACGGACCGACAACCACTCACCACTCGACGCACCAACAGATGACCAACACAAGAAATAAGAAACGACACGGACCATTCTCAAGAGGGTTGTGGTTACCATAGCTGAAAAAGTACCCGAACACAGAACCTGGACTGACTCCGGCACTAAAGAACACTGGCAACCCCACACCCCAATAATGGACTGGAAACAGCCTAAACCGCTGACAACTCCAAGCTCCAGATAAGATATAATTAACAAACTCTCTCCTTGCTTTGTATAATGTTTCCTGTTCGCTGTTTGGTTGATAGGACTCATTCGATAGATAGAAATTATATGTTTCCAGCTCGCTACTTAGTCAATAGGTATCTTCCAATAGATAGAAATTATAGACTCAGGAATGCAGGCGGCACGCACTAGTACCCTTGTTGGTACCAGCCTATGTAGTCACAGACCATTGCTATCCCTGGAGCAAAGTGGAACAGTTGCCCCACACTCACCCACCACACAGGTATCCTAGATGCCACAGCATACAACACCACGACCTAGCACCAAAACAGTGCAGATACCCACCGGGAGGCACACCTTGGGTGGGGAGGGAGGGCTGGGGCACCCCCCAACAATGGACATGGCAGGCGCCCAATGATAGACACCTTTCAGGAGTACACCTCAAAACACCGTTGGCTCCCTTGAGCGCAAACACTTTCCCAGGAGACTCAATAAAGCAGTATCCGGGACCATACTCTGCTCCCGCACTAGACACACTGGGACCCAGGAGACGCGGGCACACCCTCCACATAGAACACCGGTGACAACACCACAAGCACCAGAGAGGCTAAGCACAAACGGCACGCCCTGGGAAATAGAAGGACTTAGACAGACACACCCTGAGCACATACAACCCCTAGGGCCCAATGCAAACCGGGGCACCACCAAGGATATGATCGGACCAATACAGGGAGGGACTCACACTAACCTACACGACTTGCAAAGACATGGCACCAGGCAACCGAGGGGCCGGAAAGTGCAGCTACAAATCAACCCCCCCATTCTTTCAGCCTCCCAGCCCAGGGATCCCCTAGGACTCCCCACAGAGAGACACCACAGGGGAAGACACGCAACACGGGAACCTCTGGACACTAAGGCAGAGGAAATGTATATAACTAAATTGAAGTTGATGTTAAACTGTTGTGTTACAATGTAAAACTGTTACTCATTATTTTTCAGCTAACCGACACACCCCACCCCACCTCACGTGCTGACGGACGCCACTTACAGCAGACGGCACCACGCCGACATCTTATGACTGGACGGTGACAGCACACCCTCACCACCGCACCAATATTAGATCCGCTAACGACCAGACCAACGCCCCACGGGCTCACAAGGTACGACCCTGCACACACACGGCACGATACGTAGAGGGCTAACCTCACGGACGCAACGCCACCACAACGATGACCGACCACAGCACATACGGTAACGCGGGCGACTACTGAAAACTGCCTCTGGACGGCCCTGACCGGACGGTCGCCAACCCCCGACACACACACACCTAACCGAACTCACGGGGAAACCCACGGAGCGGTCGGACGCTTCGCCCCACTACCTACTGGCCTTCGGATAAGCCCAGTAGCACACTCTACCCATATCTCCCTTCCACTACCTTAACCCAGGCTAATACCCTCACCCCTCCCGCCCTCCCCTCCCCCCCACCCCTCGCGGCCCGTGGCCACTCGGACGCGCAACTCAGGATAACCCATCACTGCAAACCCTCAGAGACCGCCACACTCCTACAGACACCATGCCTACACAAATACGATGCATCTCCATTAACGCCAAAGGACTGAACTCCCCCAACAAGAGGCATGGCATTCTACGCTGGGCACATAAACAACAAGCTGAGATAGTCCTCATACAGGAAACCCACTTCACAATCAACCGCATGTTCCCCCTCACTAACAGATACTACACACAAAGCTTCCATGCTCCCTCCCCAGACACCAAGACCAAAGGTGTAGCGATCCTTTTGAGAGCAAACAGCCCCCTCACAGACATCACCTGTTCTAAAGACCCACAGGGTAGATACATCACAATACGGGGAAAAATAGGCACAACACAATACGCTTTTTCATCGCTCTACGCGCCCACAACACCAGACCCAACCTTCTGGCAACAATTAGCGACCCACCTCAACACGTACTCAGCCACACGACTTACAGTGGGCGGGGACTGCAACGCAGTACACATGCCTGCCATAGATAGGACTTCAAGCGCCAAAACACGAACTCGCCCAAACCAAAACGACGTCCTCTTCGCCCAATTCCTGGCTTCCCACAAACTGATTGACATATGGAGGGCGCAACACCCGACCACCAAAGACTACACCTTCTACTCCCACCCACACGGATCCTATTCACGCATTGACCACTTTCTCATTTCACCAAACTTACTATCTCAAATCACCAAATCGGAGATCAGACCTATTTCCTGGTCCGACCATGCCGAGATAGCAATCACTCTAAACCTACCGACCATACACACACACTGGTCATGGCGACTTAACCCAATACTCCTTCATGATCAACTGATTAGAGACAAAATAGCTATAGCAATCAAAGATTACTTCGACTTAAACTCACCCACAACGACCTCACCTATGACCCTCTGGACAGCACCTAAAGCAGTCATCAGAGGCACACTCATCAACCTAGCCACCCATAAAAAAAAACAAACACAACGACAAATACTAGAAACGATGACAGAACTCCGCCGCCTAGAAACGGAACACAAAAAGAACCCTAACCCGACCACCCTGTCCAAACTTACGGCGACCAGAAACCTCCTTAACACCCTCACACAAGCAGACACAGCCAAAGCTCTGATGTGGCTCAAACAAAAATATTATGAAAAGGGCAACAAGGCGGACACCATGCTTGCCCGCAGACTTAAAAAGCGAACTGAAGCTAAACGCATTACAAAGATACGCGCGAACGATGGTCCCCTCACAGACTGCCCAACTAGCATAGGAAAAGTCTTCCAGGACTATTACACGGACCTCTACAACCATGACCACCGACCCCATGACACCAGCCCATCGCTGTCCACACGCATAGACACATTCTTACAAAGCACGATGCTACCCACCCTGACTCAAGAGGCCCAAGCAGCCCTGAGCCAAGACGTCACGACAGAAGAAATGACCATGGCATTGGGATCCCTCAAACCAAATAAAAGCACAGGACCGGACGGCTACACAGCCCTATATTACAAAGAATTCGGCCCACTACTCCTTACACATCTATGCGCGGTCTTTAATGCAGCACTCAAGGGAGAGAACCTCCCACCAGAAATGACCGGGGCAAACATCTGCCTCCTCCCAAAACCCGGCAAAGACCACTCTGAACCCGCACACTACAGACCAATTTCCTTACTCAACGTGGACCTTAAAATCATGACCAAAATCATGGCCAACCGCTTAAACCCATACCTAAGATCCCTCATACACCCAGATCAAGTGGGATTCATCCCACATAGGCACGCCGCGGACAACACCCGGAGAACCATTGATCTCATATGGCTGGCTAACCACAGACGAATCCCTACAGCGATCATCTCACTGGACGCGGAAAAAGCGTTTGATCGCTTGCTCTGGCCGTTCCTCTATCATACGCTAACATACATAGGGATACCACCCGAATTTACCTCATTCGTGCATGCCATCTATCACTCTCCCCAAGGGGCACTTCTACTACCTAACATCCCCCCACCACGATTCCCCATCTCAAACGGCACGAGACAGGGATGCCCTTTATCCCCCCTACTATTCGCCATATCACTAGAACCTTTGCTGCAAGCGGTGCGTGCCAGCCATGACATAGAGGGGCTAACGATCAGGGGAGAAACCTTTAAAATCTCAGCCTACGCGGATGACATCCTGCTAACACTGACAAACCTGGAAAAATCCATAAACTCGCTCCTAACTCTCATCCAAGAATACTCAGACTTGTCAGGGTACAAGATCAACCTGAATAAATCAGAGCTCCTCCCAATACAAATAGACGCTCCAAACCTAGCTACACTCAAACAAATATGCCCGATGAGGATCTGCCACACAACGATGACGTACCTAGGGATCCAACTCCCAACAGACATCACCACTCTTTATAAAACAAACTACACTCCCTTATTACAAAAAGCCCACTCTGACCTCACTAAATGGAAATCACTAGGGGTCTCATGGCTGGGACGCATCGCCACAATCAAAATGAATCTCCTACCCAGATTCTTATATCTGTTTCAAACCCTCCCCATACCGATCCATAAACAAGACTTTAAGGACTAACACACTTCACACACTACCACACGGCAGCACACCTAACGCAGATACAACACTGGCACGTCCCACCAGGGGAAAAAAGATGGGTGGACTTGGAACACAACATCTTCGGTTGGGACCACCCGTCCCTGTACATGTGGGTACCCAAACCACATAGACCCCTACCCCCTCCCACCGCACCCTCAATCACCCATGCACTTGATACATGGGACAAAATGAGGGACAAATTTGAACTGTCATCGTTCCTATCTCCTATGACCCCCATATGGAGGAACAAGCTGTTCCCACCGGGACTTATCCCCAAGCACTTCGCCCACTTTGAACACAGGGACATTTCCCGTCTAGGGCATTTGTACCAAGACGACGACATTATAAAATTCTCAGATATCAAAGACTCATCCTCACTCACATCATTCGATCACTTTAGATTCATACAATTGCGCAGCTTTGCAGCGACTCCAATCATAAAACAAGCCGGCACGGCTCAACTCAATCGATTTGAAAGAGACTGCATTGCGCACCCCAACAGACAAGGACAAATCTCCGACATATATGCAACCTTGGCAACCCACCACACACAACTGTCTCTCCCATACATAGCGGCATGGGAGGCAGACCTCGGACCCCCAGACGTAACAACAGATTGGTCAGACATCTGGGAGGCAACGGCCTCCATCTCCATATGTGTCACGCACACTGAGCAAGCCTACAAAATGCTATTCCGTTGGTACCTCACCCCCCAACGCCTGGCCATCATGCACCAAATACCAGCCAACACCTGCTGGAAACAATGAGGAGAGACGGGAACGTTCCTCCACTGTTGGTGGACGTGCCCGAAACTCCAACCACTTTGGCAAGACACCACACGCCTAATCTCCAAACTAATAGACAAACCTTGTCCCTTAGACCCTTGGATGCTCCTACTCTCCAAGCCAATAGACCAATACACTAGAGCTGAAAATAAGCTATCCGCCCGCATAGCCCTAGCAACACGTAGAGCCATAGCAGAAGTCTGGTCAACAAACCGCATACCGACACAAGAAACAATTACCAAGAAGATAATAGATGGCATGCAAATGGATAGGCTCACAGCACAAATACATGACTCGCCCAAAAAATTCCACAAAATATGGGACCCATGGCTGGAGGGAGACACAACCATTCCGTGGTAACACGATAGGATATTAACCGCCCCCCCCTAGCATAGGGACCCCCCAATCGAGGATATCACACACCTTCAAATAAGTACAACCCTCACCTAACCACATAGCCCCAAACACCAACCTAGGACCCCCGAGAGGGACCCGCGCGCTGGGTGGCTCGCGGACCGCGAATCCTCCCCCCCATGTCCACACCGCCCTATCCCACAACCCTTACCCTAAACCACTCCTCGACTCGGACAAGGCTGCACCCATACATAGCGAGACAGGACTCACAAAGAGTCGATGAGTGACAAAACCCATCCCTTAAGAACGCAGAAACGACAGGGAACTTAAATAAGCGTTCAATGAAGATACAATGTTAATACAACGTTGATACGAATGTAAGCTATTTCCAATATGCAACAGTACCCTGCGTTGGTACTGACATTAAATTTGAAAGTACTATTAAGTCTTGAACCACCCCCACCCACCCCTCCTTCTATTTTCTGTACCCCACTCCCCTCCCTCCTAATTTCAAGGAGAAAAACCTACAAATAAAGAATTTAAAAAAAAAAGAAACACAAAAACCACCTCTAACATGTTTAACAGAAACTAAAGGTGTATATCACTGTGGACACTGTAAAGCGTGCAAATATATTAAGCCATCAAAAACAATAGAATACACTAATACTAAAAAAAATATCAGAGTCAGCGCGTCCATAAGGCGGCACAGGTGGCCGCCTTAAGGCGCACCAACTCTGGGGGTGCAAGATTTCAGTGACCAGCAGGAGAGAAGCACTCCCTCCTGCCAGGCCACCTTCTGGACCCCTGGCATGGCTGTGTTCTAATCAGAGGCGGCGAGGGAGCTCTAACCACTTTGCTCTGATGCCGCGGGAGCCGGAATATGACGTCATGTTAGGGAGGCTGGGTGGACATATAATATTAATAATTTGTGTGGGTCTGTAAGTGTATGTGTGAGTGTGTGTGTATGTGTTTGTAAGTGTGTGTATGTGTTTGCAAGTGTGTATGTGTTTGTAAGTGTGAGTGTTTGTCTGTGAGTGTGTGTGTTTGTGAGTGTGTGTCTGTAAGTGTATGTGTGAGTGTGTGTGTGTGTATGTGTGTGTCTGTAAGTGTGTAGCGGAGAGCTGATATTCCACAGGTTATCTCCACTTAAGATCCCAGTGAGGTTCAGGAACAAGTATAAATCCATAAGGCAAGGCTTTCAGCAGGCAAAACAATCCAACAATATCCCAACCTCAATCCCAATGACTGGACGACACACAGCATCAGGAGCAGAACTGAACTTTTAATCACTCAACCTTCTTTTAAAGCATTCTCCCATGCAAGGGAGGGATTTACAATTATTAGTACAGTATTCAATCATACATGAGTAGCCGCCCACACATCTCCTCCCCTTAGCCTGACTCATAATCCCATTATGCAGGACACAAATTCCCTGGGTTTTTGGATGTACCCCTAAACATAGGGGTACCCCTTTAAATATTACATCCCCTCGGAGCCCTGATCTGGGTGAGTAACATATCCAAAAATCACCTAGATCGGACCAGGGGTTCGGGAGATTTGTGGAAGTAATAAAAAGACCGACCGCGCTGGAGGGAACAGCCGAAATTGGTTCCATGCGTTTTGGCCCTGCGGTTGGTCACAGAAAAAGGGAATAAACTGCACCGAAGACTTGTGCTATGGATACTAGGGAGAGTTGGCATAAATCCCCTTGTTCGGTTGTTTCTTTCTACCGAACGGGTGGCCGTTCAGTAGTTTCTCTACGAATTTAAGGGCCGTGTGGAGGTCTCAGCGGTGTTTGCCTAGCCGAGTGTCCGATTTGAGTTACAGACACTCGACGGCAAAACACCGCTGTTCAGGAGTTTAAAATGGCCGCTGCCAAGTGTTCATCTCCCGAATGGCGGCCACCCAGAGAACAAAGAACCCACTACACGAATTGCCAATTACCCGTTCGCAACATTGTTGCAAACGGTAATTGGAGGCACACTTACTACTGGGGTGGTCTGACTGTTCGGTAGTTTCACTCTCATAATAACTGGAGTGATTCTACCGAACAATCAGGCGAATGCTGCATACATTTCAAATACATAGGTTACAATTCAATCGAACACATAGGAATAACTGTAATTTTTAGGACAGCCCAATGCCATCCGCTACAAAGTGTATGTGTGAGTGTGTGTATGTGTTTGTCTCTGAGTGTGTTTGTCTGTAAGTGTATGTGTGAGTGTGTTTGTGTCTGTCAGTGTGTGTTTGTGAGTGTCTGTCAAATCAGTGAGAGTATGTTTATCATTGAGTCTGTGGTGACTATCAGTGTGTCTGTCAAGCAGTGTTCAAGCAGTGTTTGTCTGTCAGTGTGTGTGTGTGTGTCTGTCTGTCAATGAATGAGTGTGTGTCAGATCAGTGAGTCTGTGTCTGTAAGTGATATCTGTGTGTTTGTCATTGAGTGTGTGTGACTGTTAGTGTGTATACACCACTGAGTGTAGGGTGGCGGAGCGGAGCACGGTACAGGAGCTTCTGTTTCCTGTACCCGGCCAGACTGACAGGAGGTGCTCACTGAGAGAGCTCTTCCTGTCAGTCCAGCTGGGTACAGAAAACTGAAGCGCCTGTAGAGGATCTGCTCCGCAACGCTACAAGTGAGGTAGGAGGCACACCAGGAAAGGGAGTGTGACCACTAAGGGGGTGGGGGTGCACCAAGGGACAGGGAGGGGAGAGAAACACCAAGGAACAGGGAAAAGAGGGGAGAGGGGAGAGGAACACTAAGGGACAGAGAAGGGAGGGGACCACTAATGGATGGGGAGGGGAAGAGGGGCTGGTTAAGAGGCACATAGGTGAAGATGTTATTCTTTTGGGGGGAGGGGGAAAATGCATCTTCGCCTATGTACCCAAAAATCCTTGCACCGGCCCTGCATATCAAATAAGGGATTTTGCAAACTGCAGCACTACTAAAATAGTATATTTGACAACGTGCAGCTGCAAAATCCAATATGTTGGTAAAACCTATCAGGAATTTCGCAGACGAATTCTCCAGCATGTCAATTCCATCACTAATTTAAAAGTTTCAACAGCAGTGGCGAATCATGTGAGGAACCATCACAACACAGACGCATCTAACCTTTCCTTTCAAATTCTTGAACGGATCAATCTGAACACTAGGAAAGGCAACTACAATATAACACTGTTGAAAAAAGAATCAAAATGAATCTACGAATGAAAAACACTGGCACTATACGGTTTAAATGAAGAATTTCATTTTACACCGTTTATTCATCATTAATTTAATAGTGACTATCAATTCATTAATCTCATTCTCTAATAAATTAGAGCATAACAAGAGCCTTTATATCAAAAATAAAAAAATAAAATTATTTACTTCATAATATAATAGTTTACATTAAAATTACAAAATATTAATCCCAGGGATATTAAGTATTGCATTTAGGCATAACTGAGTTTTCTAATTTGATCCCTAAATATGGATATAAATACAATGACTATAGTACATAGGTTTATAATTACATCTAGCAATTGATGCACACATAAGGACTAATTTATAATCCTTAAGACTAATATCTTATTATTTACTGGTAGAACTATTTAGTATGTATCTATTTTTCATTTTATTATTTCATTATTATTATTTTTTCGCTCTTCTTTTTTGGATGTTATGGTAACAACAAAATTAAACCCAACTAGGCATATTACATAACCCAGCCTTTAACATTTGCATTAACATCTGTTTTCTTTGTCTTCATTATATTTTTTTTTACTAATAAAAACTCCTAACCATTTAAATCTACCCCTTCTATTCAAAATAATTCAATATTTTCCCTTTTTTATCAGTAAATGTTATTACATAGTAACACGGAAAGGGATACTTTGTATAGTTAATGACTATAAATTGATATGATGCTGTTGAATCAGAGTCACCACTTTAACATTTTTAAGCAACCTACTTCACACTGGATATATTTCCACGATAGCAATTCACTTATGATCTAGCTCCATAAAATCTCAAACTCCTATTTATAATATGTATCCGTATTATAAATCAGTTAATCTGATTAAACCTTTTGTGAGAACTTTAATGAACATTATCCTTACATTATCCTTAGTCGTTTAATTTTAGTTATCTATTTATTTTCATTCATCAGTACCCACATACACAGCTATAACAGTATCACAATGGGTTAACTTGAGATCCAGTGTCAGTAAAGACACACCTTTCTTTATTTCTACTGGTTAATTAAAATTTATTCATGTAAGAGACCCATACTTATAATCACTGATACTTACCTGTGCTCGGTTCCCCTCTGAGGTGCCAACTGGCGAAACGCGCCTGTCAGGGGCTCGGGTAGCATACTAATATACCGTAGATGTCAGCCTGTCACTACCGCATACCGAACCGCGGCAAATTACATCTCAGCTACCTCAGTTAAAAACTTTATTCATCTTCCACTGATATTTTAATTTACTTTAGCCTCTTACCACTTGAGGCTTGGGCATGGTGGGGTAACATACAGTTTTACAATAGATGTCAGTTAAGTTACTTCCGCATATTTTGTTGTGGTGATATTTAGTTACCTCTCTATTTATATGTATATTTTATTTTTGTCTCTGTATTCTCTAGCCTAAAATTATTTGGAGATTGGGTATGGTGGGCAACATAGTGAGAGTAGTATCTGGGTAAGGGGTGCCCTCGAAGGCACATTAGCCTCTAGGGCTATTACTACTAAACTCTCGCTTCCCTCTCCTCTCCACTTTGTAGCCGTTGGAAATTGAGTAGTTGTAGTTAGTAAGTTGTACGTTTTAAGCATATAGAGTGGCAGAAACCACACCTACTTGTCTATATTTTATACATGCATATGTATATTTTTTCACTTCTAGTACTATTAACTATATCAGGTACTATGTGTGGATTAGTTACCTTATTGCCCAATATATAGTGGAGAGCAATCTGTTACATATTTTATAAATGTTCTTTTTTTTTGGTACATTTATTGCACCTATTTTATCTACTGAAATAAAAGTTAAGTTTTAAGTACACCGATTGTTCTCACATAGATAGATACACCGTTGGAGATTTATTTTGGTTTTTTGTTTTTCCATTAGAATTTTTTAAACACATTTCCAATTTCTTCCGGACTATTATAATGTTTATGCTCATTTATCCTAATAATTTTAAATATTCTATTCTTCAGATTGCGTTTTTAAAGTTGATTGGTCATCATCTTATCTGCTTTATTACCTAAATAATAGAATTTGTTTCATTTTCATTAAATTTTAATTAGCTTTTATAATTAGTTGTTCTTCAACTTCTTTCTTAACTGTATTCCTTTCTATTATATCTTGTACTTCTGTAACGCTATTACTATTTTTTTAAAATTACTTAAAGTTATATAAAGATCCGTTTTTTCGCATATTATTTCTTTTAAAAAAAAAAAGCTTCTTTCTTAATTAAATAGCCTCTTAATATGCATTTGTATGTGGCCCATACGTTTAGTAGTAATTATAATTTCATCAATATCCTTAGATATAAAGAAGAGAAAACTCATTCATACGCCATATTCGTTCTCCTCTAATATATTTACCTTTAATATCTAGACACACTAATTCATGATCTGACCATACCACATTTTTAATTTCTATTTTTTTTACAGTCTTGATATTGCTTTTGTTAGTATCATGTCAATTCTTGAGAAAGATTGGTGTCTATTTGACTAAAAAGTGTATTTCTTATCCATTGGTGTAATAGTTATCCATATGTCATAATTTATACCGACCCAGTGTGTCCTGAAAGTATTTTGCAAGGTTAACTTGTCTATAACTCCATCCACTATTACTTAAATTATGCTTATCCATATTGCAATATGCAATTAAAATCACTGCAACATAAAAAGTGATTTTACTTTTTGTAGGATTTTATTCAGAAAATGTATTTGCTTCGTATTTGGAACATATGTATACACAATATATATATCAGCTACCATCAGCTCCACCACGCAAGCTCGCTGCCTAGGTGTTCTCTTTGACTCCGACCTGTCCTTCACGCCTCATGTTCAGTCTATCGCCAAATCCTGCCGCTTCCATCTCAAAAACATTGCGCGCATCCGACCCTACTTAAAGGACCACTATAGTGCCAGGAAAACATACTCGATTTCCTGGCACTATAGTGCCCTGAGGCTGCCCCCACCCTCAGGGACCCCCTCCCGCCCGGCTATGGAAAGGGGAGCTCTCCTCCTCCGTTCCTCCCCGTCGGCTGAATGCGCACGCGCAGCAAGAGCTGCGCGTGCATTTAGCCGGTCGCATAGGAAAGCATTATCAATGCTTTCCTATGGACGCTTGCGTGCTCTCACTGTGATTTTCACAGTGAGAATCACGTAAGCGCCTCTAGCGGCTGTCAATGAGACAGCCACTAGAGGCTTTGGGGGAAGGCTTAACCCATTTATAAACATAGTAGTTTCTCTGAAACTGCTATGTTTATTAAAAAAAATGGGTTAACCCTAGCTGGACCTGGCCTAGAGTGGTCCTTTAACACCAGATGCGACTAAGGTGCTGGTCCATTCCACTGTCCTTTCTCGCCTTGACTACTGTAATCCGCTTCTCAGTGGTCTTACGTGCTCCCAACTTGCGCCGTTACAGTCCATAATGAATGCGTCAGCGAGGCTCATCTTCCTGTCCGCCCGCACCTCCCACGCCTCACCCTTCTGTCATTGTACATTGGCTTCCTGTAAGATATAGGGCTAAATTTAAAATTCTGGTTCTTGCTTTCAAATCTCTACATAATGCTGCTCTCACTTATCTATCCTCCCTAATACACAAGTAGGTCCCTTCTAGGCCCTTACGCTCTGCTGAAGACTTACGTTTATCTGTCCGTACTCCCACCTCTGATGCTCGCCTTCAAGACTTCTCGAGGGTTGCACCGTTCCTGTGGAACTCGCTTCCCTCCTCCGTTAGATGCTCACCCAGTCTCCACTCCTTCAAAAAATAATTAAAAACCCACTTCTTCTTAAATGCCTATCAATTAAACTGTTAATGGCTCCCGACTGATTCCTATCTTGCAACTGTCACTAGTCTAATACTATCCTTACCTTTTGTGTCACTTTACCCCACTCTAGCATATAAGCTCATTGAGCAGGGCCCTCAACTCCTCTGTACCTGTGTGTCCAACTTGTCTGGTTACAACTACATGTCTGTTTGTCCACCCACTGTAAAGCGCTGCGGAATTTGTTGGTGTTATATAAATAAAAACATAATATTCTACTATTCAATTTTACAAACCACAAATCTACCTATCTCATCACTCTGTGTAGAGTCGCTATCTTTATATTATTTGATCTTTGATATAGATTAGTTTTCCTAGGTTCTAAGCTTTATCGGAGCACCTTATTTGTATCATAATTGTATCTGTCATTTCTTTACTGTTATACATTCATACTGTATAATTGTACCGTGTTGGAGTTATATAGATGCCAATAATAATAAAAATATATATAAAATCATGCAATGTATAATAGTGGTTATGGTTCCAGGAGTGCTCTGATACTTCCCCCGGTTTTCCACTGCTGTGTTCCACTCCCTGCCTCCATTATATTTGTCAGAGTGCTGGAAGCTCCAAAGCAGTAATCCCTGCAGTGCTTAGCATAGCTACTACCACCGGCTCTCTGTGGACAGGGAGCAGTGCTCTGGTTGGGATCAAAGTTTTCTAAAACTTGTTTTCTTACTTAATGTTTTAACTTGCATACTTTGCCAGCCACGGCCAGGCTTAGTTTGTCAATTAGTTAACTCTTGTACTGTCATATGGAAATTCTTTGTTACATGCCTGAGGGCGCCAAGACATTATGGGGCAGTGGTGGCAAGTTGGCTTTTTTACCTACCTGCGTTGCTCTTTGTCCCTCCAGGAGGCATAACCACCTACAAAAACTAGTGGGTATGTGGCAGCCTCCAGGAGAATTATTTTGCCGCGCTAAAAAACACTCATGCTGTGCTCCTGCACAGCTACAGCGTTTTAGCCAATCAGGTGATCAGGACAGCCGTGCTGCTCGCGGCAGCCCTGATCAGCTCAGATTTTAAAATAGCAAAGTTGATGGAGTACTCCATTTCTGTGTCTGCCACAGATATGATGGCAGTCTGTCCTAGAGACAGCCCCATCAATGTTAGAAGGCTCCATAAAAGAGCCTTCCTTGTTGTGGACCTATCCTCTTCATCTTCTGAGGAGGATACTGTCCCAGTTAGTAAAAGAACAAAGAAGGCTTGCCTTTCCTCTTCAAGTTCTGAGGATGAACTTGATTTTGGTCCCTCTTCCCCTCATTCTCATTTGAGTAGTCGATGCTTTAAAGGGACGGTACCTCCAAAAGCAAAACATGTGTTTCCCTTATTTGAGGTTTCAAAGCAGTTTTCACACAAAAGGGACAAGATTTGTTTGAGTGCTGTCAGTCCCTCACCATCCACCTCAAGAGCGTTTGCTCATTCATCCTCCCTAAGCCGGTCTTGTTCCAGACAGGTATCCCCGGAGATTGATTGGGAGTGGTTCGCTCTGCAACTTCCACTGAACAAGGGAAGTTCAGCAACATTCAGATGACCAGAGTGAGCCTTTTAGGTAAAGTGCTCCCTTCAAAATTATTCCATTCAAGATGGGCCATCGAACAAGAGTCAGAAGTCAATGATTTTGCCAAACTAGCTTTCAGATCACCGCTAGTTAAAGAGGATGATCTCCTCCTTAGAAATCATATTGGTATCCCTGACATTCAGGCATTAATGGCCCCTGAAATTGATCCAGCACTGTTATCCATTACAGGAAGCAGTGTTTCTACGGATCCCATGGATCAGAGATTTCACAATGTACAATTCAAAATTGCGGATGCTGTTGGTCCCCTTCTGTTTATGTTAGATAAGGCAGAGAAGGAGGGATCCTCTCATAACCCTTCCCTACCAGCTTTACTGGCTTCTAAGATGGCACTTCTAAAAGCTTCCAGCAGAGCGGTGCTCTGGTCAATCCTTCAACTATATTTCCAGCATTCGCAGAACCCGCTGGCTGCATGCAGCAGGGATGTCTGATTTGGAACCTAAATCACATGAATTCCCTAATTTTGAAAACTCCTTTCTATTTGGCCCATCTTTTATACAAGGTCAGAGGTGAAAGGACGATATAAGGCTATGAGATCTTTCTCTGATTTAACCCCTTAAGGACCAAACTTCTGGAATAAAAGGGAATCATGACATGTCACACGTCATGTGTCCTTAAGGGGTTAAAGAAGAGCTTTCCAAGCCAAAAGAAGCCCTTTCGGACTGAGGATTGTTCCTACAGGGCTTCAGGTTCGTCCTGGGAAGTTACTCAGCAAGCCCACATTTATCACTATGGGGGAAAGTCAAGACCCCCAGGCAGTAGCAGAGGAGCCCATGCCAGACATGGCTCATCAGGAAACCGAAGACCCATGCAGGCAAGTAAGTGGTTTACCTCAGATCCCTCAAAATTGGTCAGATATAACCTCTGAGAAATGGGTGCTTTAGATTATCAAAAGGGGTTTACAACTCCCTCTCATTCAGTTTCCTTTCCAGAGTCAAGCTCTGGGCGGAGGTAAATCCCGTTCTAGATTCCTCTCTTTCCCAGGCATTAGCTCAGGGAAAAATAGAATTGGCAGATTTGTCAATTTCAGGTTGGATCGGTCCCTTGTTCACTATTCCAAAATCAGACGGCACGTGAAGACCATTACTAAACGTCAAGGCTTTGAATGCTTTCCTAAAGAGGAAAAGATTCAGGATGGAAGGTTTAACAGACCTCCCAGGCCTAGTGCAGATGATTTCCATTCCATATAGCTATGAAACACAGGCACTTTCTCAGATTCCACTGGAAGGAACACATATATCACTGGACTGTAATCGTGTTTGGCCTTTCCAACGCACCTTACACATTTTCCAGGATAATGAAAGCTATTATATCCCACGTCAGGCAAAGAGGATTTCTATGCCTTTATTACTTAGACGACATCCTGTTGTTGAATCCAGAGGTAGATGCTATCGTTCACCAGAGAGATTACCTAATTTCCTTATTACAGGATCTGAGGTTTATTGTAGATCTGCAAAAATCCATCCCAGTCCCTACTCAGAATATCCTATTTTTGGGTTTCATGCTGAACACTATGGATATGACCTTGGGTGTTCCCCAAGACAAATGGGGAAAAATCCTAGCTCAGATAGCTTCAGCTCTTTAAAACACAGATGGTCCCTAAGAGAAATAGCAAAGACTATTGGGAGGCTGATAGCTTTAACACCGGGTTACGATGCTTCCCCCTTGCTGTGCAGACGAAGTCAGCTGTTTCTAGGAAACCAACTGAGACGAGGTGGCCAGTGGGGGTTAAGGGTGGTCCTTCCCATGAGTGTCAGAAAAGAGCTAAACAAGATATTGGAAGGGTCAAGTCCACTTCCTCGCCCCCTTCTGGAAGTTAACCTTGACCACAGATGCTTCTACCAAGGAATGGGGTGCTTTCTCTGCCCAAGGCGCGATAAGAGGAGTTTGGTCAGTTCAAGAAAGGCTTCTTCACATAAATTTACTAGAGTTGAGGCAATCAGATTAGCCCTCCAAGGCCTTGTTCCATTGAACCCCCTAGGTGTGTCGGTAATGGTTCAATCGGACAACAGGACAGCGTTAGCTTATGTCAACCACAGAGGGGGCACAAGGTCAAAAGGTCTTTGCCTACAGGCCTTGGACCTGTGGTCCTGGGTTCTGGTTCACAAAGTTTGAATTTTGGCAGTTCACATACCAGGAGAGGCAAACGACCTGGCGGATTCCCTGTCCTGCCAGCATTGTCCCTAGTTACAGTCCAGTTAAAAAGTGCCTTATTTCTGCTGATAGAGAGCTGATTGATCTTTTTGCATCACAGACCTCGGCTCAGACTCCCAAATTTGTAACCAGGACTTTGGCAAAAGGAGCTTGGAAGATGGATGCAATGTCCTTCCAATGGACAAACATTCCGAGCCTTTACGCTTTTCCTCCTCCATCTATTCTGATGAAGGTGTTAGAGAAACTTCAGAGTGACAGGGAGCCCAATCTGGTTTTAGTGTGCCCCATTTGGACCTCCATGCCATGGTACCCTCTGATCCAACCTCTAATCAGGGGATCATCGATTCCATTAGGCTGGACACTGGATTGCTTCCTAGGGACCAGGGATCTCTTTATCAAGCTCCCCCAATTTATGTGGATAGCAGTTCTGGTAGGCTTTTAACACATCCTCTTCTGTCCGACCGGCTTTTAGACATAGTTAATTCTTCAATAGTAATTACTTAATTAATAATTACGGCGCAGGACCAGGGTAAGATACAGACAGATGATCGAGGAATTTAAAGCATGGGAAGTTTACTTTAATTCCCTTTCCCATGAATCTGACACAATTCCCTTAGCTTTGGAATTCCTCACGCTCAAATATTATTTAGTGTTAATGGTCAGTACGATTAAGACGTATGTTTCTGCATTAAGTTTTCTAATCCCTGATCTGACCCAAGACGCCCTTTACCTCAGGTTACTCAAAGGGCTATCAGTCTGCGGCCTTTTACTCCGAGATACACTTCCTCTTGGGATGTGGACCTTTTATTAAACTACCTTAATTCTTTTTTTTTTTTTTTTATTAAAAGGAAGGTATTTAGGACCCAGAATCCTCCATAGCCTGTACTCATTCACCTGCCCAATTAGCAACTGCTGAGGCTTTAATTAGCAGGTCTCAGAGCAGAAAGGAGGAGATACAATCTGACCTGCAGAGAGAGCAGGTCTGTGTAGAGCAGCACCAAACAAAGTGTTAAAGGTTGGTGAAACCAATGTTTATTTTGTTGATTTGTGTAGTTTATTACCCTGGTTTAGAAAGGGACATTACTTTAGGTTTAGTTAGTGCTCAAATTTGAGCTAGGATTTTGTTTGTAGACTTTCTGTTTTGCTGAAGTTTTGAACAAACGGATTGCTGCATGGATTTTTGTGCACGATGTAAATAAACCACACCATTTTTGCATAAGAGACTGTTGTTCTATACCTGTTACCCTAGAGGACTGTGTTGCTTTGCCCATAAAGGTCAATATATATATATATATATATATATATATATATATAATTTCTATGTCTTGAGGGTGTCTGCCGAGGTAGGTAGGCATGCACACACATCCATGGTATATCAGATTAAGCAAAGCATAGAATGTAACTACAGTTGCAAGAAAAAGTATGTGAACCCTTTGGAATGATATGGATTTCTGCATAAATTGGTCATAAAATGTGATCTGATCATCATCGAATCACAATAGACAATCACAGTCTGCTTAAACTAATAACACACAAAGAATGAATTGTTGCCATGTTTTTATTGAACACACCATGTAAACATTCACAGTGCAGGTGGAAAAGTATGTGAACCCCCTAGACTAATGACATCTCCAAGAGCTAATTGGAGTGAGATGTCAGCCAACTGGAGTCCAATCAATGAGATGAGATTGGAGGTGTTTGTTACAGCTGCCCTGCCCTATACAAAACACACACCAGTTCTGGGCTTCCTTTTCACAAGAAGCATTGCCTGATGTGAATGATGCCTCGCACAAAAGAGCTCTCAGAAGGCCTATGATTAAGAATTGTTGACTTGGATAAAGCTGGAAAGGATTATAAAAGTATCTCCAAAAGCCTTGCTGTTCATCAATCCATGGTAAGACAAATTGTCTATAAATGGAGAAAGTTCAGCACTGCTGCTACTCTCCCTAGGAGTGACCGTCCTGTAAAGATGACTGCAAGAGCACAGCGCAGACTGCTCAATGAGGTGAAGAAGAATCCTAGAGTGTCAGCTAAAGACTTACAAAAGTCACTGGCAAATGCTACCATCCCTGTTAGCGAATCTACAATATGTAAAACACTAAACAAGAATGGATTTCATGGGAGGATACCACAAAGGAAGCCACTGCTGTCCAAACAAAACATTGCTGCACGTTTACAGTTTGCAGAAAAGCACTTGGATGTTCCACAGCAGTACTGGCAAAATATTCTGTGGACAGATGAAACCAAAGTTGAGTTGTTTGGAAGAAACACACAACACTATGTGTGGCAAAAAAAGGCACAGCACACCAACATCAAAACCTCATCCCAACTGTGAAGTATGGTGGTGGGGGCATCATGGTTTGGGGCTGCTTTGCTGCGTCAGGGCCTGGACGGATTGCTATCATCGAAGGAAAAATTAATTCCCAAGTTTATCAAGACATTTTGCAGGAGAACTTAAGGCCATCTGTCTACCAGCTGAAGCTCAACAGAAGATGGGTGTTGCAACAGGACAATGACCCAAAGCATAGAAGTAAATCAACGACAGAATGGCTTAAACAGAAGAAAATACGCCTTCTGAAGTGGCCCAGTCAGAGTCCTGACCTCAACCCGATTGAGATGCTGTGGCATGACCTCAAGAAAGCCATTCACACCAGACATCCCAAGAATATTGCTGAACTGAAACAGTTCTGTAAAGAGGAATGGTCAAGAATTACTCCTAACCGTTGTGCATGTCTGATCTGCAACTACAGGAAACGTTTGGCTGAAGTTTTTGCTGCCAAAGGAGGTTCAACCAGTTATTAAATCCAAGGGTTCACATATTTTTACCACCTGCACTGTGAATGTTTACATGGTGTGTTCAATAAAAACATGGCAATATTTAATTCTTTGTGTTATTAGTTTAAGCATACTGTGATTGTCTATTGTTGTGATCACATTTTATGACCAATTTGTGCAGAAATCCATATCATTCCAAAGGGTTCACATACTTTTTCTTGCAACTGTATTCTAGTGTGTAGCAGTGTTATGACAAGACATGCATAAATTTCTATGGCTTCTTAGAACATTAACTGATTATAGTAAGATGAGCCATGTTGATGAAACTACGCCTGCCCTAAGCTCAGTGTCCATATCGGTTGCGTGAGTCCTTCACCCTAGAAGTCCCCATGTCGCCTCACAAGAGTGCTCTGTGCGGGTGGCCCATGAGCGGGGCCCAGGTCCTGGTCATGTAGGTTCGCTGTGCGTGTACCGAGTAGATGATGGTATTGTCAGGGTATTTATATCGGCAGACATTTTGTGCTATGATAGAAATTAAAAGTGTATATTTTGAGTGACTCTGAACAGAGCAGACTCCATTTTGTTATTTCCAAGTTAACAAAAAGACACAAGATTTCTATCTGTAAACTAACCACTTTCCCAGCGCTAAAGGAATGCATATTATAAACAAAAGTGATAAGAAGAAAGGGGGTTGGACAGACTGTCTAATGCTAATGGAATATAATCAAATCTAAACCCAGACAATTGTGACAGAGAAGATTAAATAATAAAATTTAACTGTCTATATCTATAAGGTCCCATTGTAAGTTACAGGTCAAAACTCAGATTTGCAGACACATAGTCTGGACAAAACTTAAAGAAACTGTTTTTATCTGACAGCAATCTAAGTTATAGCAAAGATAGAGATAGGCCAAAATGACGTCAAAATAGCCACCAGGAAAAGTTAACTCTTTCCTGGATAGGTATGTTTAGTGGGACAAGACTGCCCTCTATAGACCAAATACCTAATTTGCGATCTGGAAGATAACCACACCTCTAGTACTTCTATTGGGTTATCAACTGATGACGTACAGAGAGTCTGGCCCTTTAAAAGTTAAGACAAAGGGAAGACAAGGTATGCAAAGGAGAAAGAAAAAGAGGAGAGAGGAATTGGAAGTTTGGGGACTCCAACCTCCATGCAGAGAGACATCCAAATAAGTTCCTGAGACTACCAATCGGATGAAATATCTACTCAACTGGTAATTATACTGGTTTCATTTAATTAATTAAATTAATTAAAATGTATTAATAGCATTATATATGACTGGATAAAGCACGGTCAGATTTCCATATTAAGAAATCTTAGTTAACTAAAGAATATATAGTTATAAACATTCCATTCTGCAGGTGGAATTAAGAATAATTATATATTAATGTGATATTATCACGTGTTAGCATACCGCTGTTTTTATCCAGGTGTATTGATTTGCTCTAATATAAGATGAGATATCTTTTTAGGCGAATAAAAATTCTGCTTTTGTAAAAATCATGGTAGATTCTCTTATTTGATGGTTCCAGGAAATGACTAATGAACTGGTTTAAATGTTATTTTATTTAAAATTACATAAGAATAGATCTTAATTACCTAGGAGATCTAGCCAGCATTCTAACTGTTAGCCAGGGTTTTATGGCCCTTCGCTGTGAAAAGCTTCGCTCTATGTCTGTGAAAGATAGTCATAAATAAAGTCTTGACAGAAAATGCTGTTTAGCCGTGTGTAGCCATTTCTTTGTATTGCATACCATTTTATACTGGATATTCATTGATTATTGTCATGCATGTTGCATATTATTATTATTAATTAATTTGTTATTATAAATAAAATCTATTTTTATAACATTGTGATTATTTATATGAAATACTTCTCACTTAACACGATAACGATCTTTGGATCTGAGAATTGAATTAGTGGGCAATTCTCACTGTTACTATTATTATCCCATAAATATCCCCACAGTATGTCTGCCAATGTCCTCTGGAGCCTTCTGCGCCTTTTATGAATGTAGCCCCGTCCTGCTGCGTGTCTGCGGGCTGGGTGCATCGCGGTTCCAGGGCTGCTGGGCAGGAGACTCCTTACGGTGAGTAGAGGGGGGGGGTGCAGAGTGTCGGCTCCCTGGGTCTTTGTGAGGGCAGGCAACTTCGGGTTGGTTGCTGGTGGAGGGTGTCGTGGTGCCGTCGCTTGCTTAGCGTTTCACCTCCTTCATCTCCGCCCGCCTCGGGGGCAAGTATATCATGGAGTCGCTATGCTGTTTGCTGCAGTTACTGGCAGGTCAGCAGGGGCAGTCTGGTTACTCCAGGCTCTGCCAGTCAGTTATTCTGCATATGGTCTCTGCCATCTGAAGTGTGGGCCCTGGTCTTGTGTAATGGCCTGGTGTCGTTGCCTGATTTCAGCTGCCACGCTGTGAGTGCGGCTATGGGGCGCATACCGGGATCACCCCCCCCCCCAGTCTAAGGGGTGGAACAGGGTCGGGTCAGAGGAGATTCAGAGTGCCGTTCAGGCTCCATTAGGCAGGATAGTGGGGTGGCGTAACTAGCTTAATTCTTAATGACCAGATTGACCTAAAATGGACGGCGATTAAATTGACGTACTTTCTAGCTTTAGCTCTGGCAGCTAGAGGCTCAGAATTAACCCAGCTAAATATTGTCGAACCGTGGTTGTCTCGAACTCCAGGGGGATTTCCATAGGCGTGCGCAGCCTATTGCATTAGGGTGTGCACCCTAAAGCACAAACACACGCCGCGCGCGTGTGTGTGTGTGTGTGTATGCGTGTGTGTGTGTGTGTGTGTATGTATGTATATATATGTGTATATATATATATATATATATATATATATATATATATATATATATATATACACACACACACACACACACACACACACACACACACACACACACACACACACACACACACACACTCACACACACACACACACACACACTGACACACACTCACAGACACACACTGACACATACTCACACACTCACAGACACACACACAAATTATTATATTTTAATTTTAAAAAAAATGTCCACCCAGCCTCCTACCTGGAGTGCTGGTGGACTTTTCCCTGGGGTCCAGTGGGGGCGGGCGCCTCTCTGCAGGTCAGCCGCGGCGAGGGAGCTCTCTGCTGTCTGCTCCCTCTCGCCGCGCGGGCTGTCTGCTGGAGCTGGGAGCCGGAATATGACGTCATATTCCGGCTCCCGGCATCAGCGCGCGGCGAGAGGAAGCAGAGAGCAGAGAGCTCCCTCGCCGCGGCTGAGCTGCAGGGTGGGGGGGAATCATCACCTCTTGCCCTCCCATGACAGGGGCAAGAGGTGAAACAGGGGACACTGAGTGCCTGCAGGAACAGCGTTCCTGCTCAAAAAAAGTGCAGGAACGCTGTTCCTGCAGGACTCAAACCATAGGCGTGCGCACGGGGATTAGGGTGTGCCCAGGCACACCCGGTACACCCCGTGCGCACGCCTATGGGGATTTCATGTCATCCTTAAAGGGAGACATAAGACTTCCAATATTTTCCAGGGTCCTGTAGAACTAGAATTGGTGCAGGATTCTGCTGAGCCGAGTTTATGTTTAGTTAATTTGTTAAATTCCTACTTTAATCTTTCTGCCCCAGTCAGACAAGACTTTACGCAATTACTTCCAGAAAACCTTTTCGGCCAGCTAAGGTTAACACAATCAGGGGTTGGATACTGTCCGCTATGTCTGCAGCGGGTATTGATGTCACAGTTTTTAAGGGTCATTCTGTAAGAGGGGCTTCAGCTTCAAAAGCAGCAGCAAGAGGCCTTCCTCTTCATATTATCCTTAAAGCTGCAAGATGGTCTTCCAGTAAGACTTTCGTTAAGTTTTAAGGGAGGCCATCTGAAGTTGAACGTTTACAGTTCCTTAAGACCACCACCAGGTGCGTGCTATTCAACCCACTAGCTTTGCTAGGTGGTTATGCCTCCCGGAGGGACAAACTAGAGTTTGCAGTAATCGATGACCTGCACACTTTCTTTGTCCTAGGGATAAGCATAACCACCTAGCAAAGCACCCATCTCTCCCTCCCCAGGTTTATTTGTAGTGCCTGATGGTGGCAGGGCATTTTTCTGGTTTGGGAATCTTCTAATTAAAGTAATTTGTGTGTTTGTTTTCTTTTTCACTTATATTTATTCTGTTTATCTTTACAGATTACAACCGGCTACCCAGACAGGATCACCAAGCCAAGGACCCTCCTAAATAGTTCTGGAGGTTAAGAAACTTCTTCCAGAAGCTCTTTGATTATGAGTTATACTATACTAATATTTCTCTCAGAGACTGTTTTGTTTTTCACCGTGATGATCAAAGATTGTTTTGTTATATTTGTCACTAACTGTCAGTAGTTCAGAAATGTTTCTTATTTATTGTTACTTTATTATATTGCCTTTCCACTCTGTTGACATAACCCTTTCATAGGAGTAAGTTCATGTTTGGATGAGTAAATAAATCATTGTTACCCCCCTTACATTGTCAGTGGTGCTCTTCTCCTTTATTATGTTTAATACCATGTACATTGATCTCTATCCTAGATTAGGGGGTTCTTTGTCTCCATCTTTTGTAACCATCTGCAGTATCTTGATTTTAAAATCTGAGGTGATCAAGGCTGACGCGAGCTGCACGGCTGTCCTGATCACCTGATTGGCTAAAACGCTGTTGCTGTGCAGGAGCGATCTTTAGCGTGGCAAAATAATTATCCGGGAGGCTTCCACATACCCATTAGCTTTGCTTCGTGGTTATGCTTATCCCTAGGACAAAGAAAGTTTGCAGGTCATCGATTCCTACAAACTCTAATACTTACCCCAATAAACTCTGTAATAATATTCACTAAGGTGAAGGCACAGGAAACTGTTAATTCTCTGGAAGTGACAGTTATTTAAGCTTTATCTATTTAAATCATATTTTTTGTGTTTGCATAATACAGAAAAAATAAATAAAAGGTGTTACCTGCAACGATTTCTTCTTACACTTGCTGCTTTTTATTATCCGTAAGTACAGGTTGAGCAACATGCAGGATGGGCTGCAAGGAAGTGATCTAAAAAAAAAAAAAAAATTCACACATCAGCTACAACAAACTCCCCTAGCAACAAATAGACTTATTTTTATTTATGTATAGTTCACACTATTGTACCTAATTCTGTAGAGAATTGTGCTATGTATAAAGCAGAAACTGAGCTAGCCCCTTATGTGTTTGTTCCACTATACTCTTCCACTTTCCTTTTGAGTGCACACACATATTATACATCATTTTTTATTGAGTTTGCATAGAAAGCCAAACATACAGCGTACAGTACAAGTTTCATAGAGTGATGAGCTACATCTTTTACATACAATGATAGCAACATGGAATTATCCTAGTAAGCATAATTTACACAATGCAGAGATCACAATTCTTTATAATAAAATTTATAAATATGAATACAATAAACTCTTAAAGTATTCACGGCGCCCTTCCCCCCAACAAATTGCCTGTAAACAGTCTCACACACAGGCACAGGCAGGCAGTCAAACAGTTACAAGCAGACAGTCAGACACGCTCAGTAAACGGCAGGCAGTCACACACACACAGACAGTCACAGAGCCAAACACACAGTTAAAGGCACACAGTCACGAACAGTTACAGACACACACAGTCACAAACAAACAGTCACACATACTCCATTACAAGACAGTCATACACACTCTGTTATAGGCATGCAGACACTCACGCTGATAGGCACACATACAGGCACACACAATGGCACAGCTACAGTGACACACAATTGGAGTCACACACAGTTACAGTCTCACACACACACACAGGCACGCAGTCACACACAGGGAGGCAGTCAGACAGTCACATACACACAGGCAGGCAGTCACTTGAATATCTACTGTAAAATCAGACCATATGAATTAAGATTAATGTACTTTAAAAATTATTCTAAGAGACTTGTTTCACCTTCCCAAATGATCAAGACATTGTTGATATGTCTCTTCCATAGCACCAGGTTTGCACAAAATGGGTTATTTTGCCAGATGTTTTTGTATTCCCAATCCGCCACAAAGATATTGGCATACCTCGGTGAGAACCTGGTGCCCATAGCATTTCCACATGTTTGGAGGTAGTAAGTTCCCTCAAACCAAAAGAAATTATGGAACAAGCTAAATCTAATAATGTCTAAGATTGAATTCATTTGGTATGGATGCATTTCTTGATCATCCATTAAAACTTATTTGACAGTCTGTATACCCTTATCATGATCAATTACAGTATAGAGGGACGTCACATCTACCATTGCCCATAAAAACTATTGTTTCAAGTTTAAACCTTCAACTTCACTAATTATCTGGGTAGAATCTTTCGTATAGGACTGAGTTTGTGTTACGTATTTTTGGAGATAAAAATCAATATACTGGGAGACATTGCTAGTTAGAGATCCTATCCCACTAATGATAAGCCTCCCAGGTGGATTATCCAAAGTCTTGTGGATTTGTGGTAAGTAATAAACTACCTCAATTTTCGGTGATTATATAGTGACTGTGGTGCTCTTATATTTTTTATAGATATTCTCTAGTCACACTGTTCTGTTGTAAATAATGGGTTGGGAGTAACCCTAGGACAGAGGCTAGCCTGCACTTATACAACACTGTGTGCTCCACCCATCCACTCACTTGTTTTTTGGGATCAGTTGTCAGTGACCTATTACTGAGCTGCCTGAAGCAGTCTTGTTATAGTGACTGATTAGTCCCAGGTTGCCAGCTCACCCTGAAAGCCAACCCTTGTGGTGATAAACCTTGAAGGGTACCCATCAAGGCTTGCACATCTTGTGATATAGTGATAGAGACTCATATTTTATTGATACATTGTGCTAGGAGAATCACAAATGTCTAGATTTCTCTGAAATGAGAGATGAAACAGTCTTTTCTTCCTCCGGTCTGTCAAATCAGTCCGTGTCGATCTGGAAAGGCTCTACGTGTCCATTATCGGGGAAACACTTCACTGGGCTTGCCTTCAGCTTAAGGGAAAGCAATGGATGCAAAGGGAAGCAAAGAGGCATGTCAAAATTAGGGTGTATTCTATTTGACGCTGTAAGATCCCTAAAAATCTTACAAACAAATACATTTGGGATATTGTTGAAAATGCAGCGCAAATGCAAATCTGGATTTTTTTTTAAAGTAAAATGAAACACATGACTTGAAATTTCATGTATGTAAAAAACAGCATTTACTACTAAATTCTTTAGCCATAGCACTCATGCCCAGAATATGTCCTCATCGAAAGTGTGCACACAGTCTCAGCCATGGCTGAAACTAGAGTCAGACGCATGGGTGCAGATTTCTTTGGCGCTTAAGGTTGGTGTGGTCATCTAACCCTTCCCCTTTATAAACGTCCAGTCCAGACAGATGATTCTACAGTAATCAGGCTGGCAGAGTAATCATGCTAGCTAGAGTTGATAATTAATATAACTAAACAACCTACCTCTCTGGGGACAATCCTCAACATAGTGGCTTGTCATTCTTCCCATGATGTGAGCTCAGACACTTTCTCCATAACAGAGGCAACTCTCCCCATACATGTCTTCCTCATACTATGACATTTCCCCTAATATCCCCATACCACCTCAGACCTTCATTCAAATACTGTTAAAATCATTAAATACATTTGCCTAAGCCTCGAATAATCCACAACTCCACATATTTTGCTTCCTGCTAGTAGACTAGAGATGTTCCCATCTTTCTAATACATACTTCAGGTCTTTGTTGTGGAAGGATGCACAGTGGGAACTCATAATTAGATGCAGTACTATTAGGCATCGCTTTCATATCCATATATTGGTCTAGGTTTATGTTCATAACCATAAGTACCATTATTATCGTATTATATCTTTGTCTCCCCTCAGCACCTTTTGTGTCTTTGTTCCCCCATCTCCTCTGCGTGTCTCTTTGTCCCCCCCAGCCCTTTTGTTTCTCTTTGTCCCCCAAGTGCCTCTGGTCTCAGCTCCAACGGGACTGAGTGAGCTGCTTTTAATCGCAAACTGGCTGCAGACAGTAAGAAAACCAATAAACAGGTAGTGATATCATTACTAAGTGTCTTTCTGGGTGCCCTCTACTTCTAATGCAGGTTGTTTGTTGTTCAGATCATTTGTAGGCATGAGATAAGAAAGTCTTTCTGGTATCACAGGGTGTAGCCAAATGAGGAAGGCTTATTGGGCAGCATTCTGCAAAACATTTATTTATTTCATGCAAAAACGATAAAGATTTGAGCATGCAAAAAAATGGCAACATATGAATGTAGCAAAAAACCTCATCAAATGCATTAAAGTTGTGTTGGAATCAGGAGGGTCCCTTTAAGGAAAGGGCTTCTCTTAATCTTTACATGGTATTATCATATTTACCAAAAAATGAACTTTGCATGTAGAATATATGTGCTGCATGTCTGTATATACAATGTACGTGCTGCATGTATATAGAATGTTTTGCTGCAGGCACTCGGTCAAGAATAAAATTATTAAAAAACATAAATACATACATACTCCCCAGGGCACCCAACATACCTAGTATGTCCGCGGTATTCCTATGCACTTACCCGATCGCCGCAGTTCACCCGCCAGCGATCGGTCTTCCTCAATGATATTGTCAGTGAAGTTGAAGTTTTTTGCATTTTCACACACAAACTGCACTTTCACTGATGATATCATTGTGATACATTTTACTGTTTTGAAACACTAATATTTGTGTTCAACAAAGTCCCCCGAGTATAACAGTACCCCCCATGTACAGGTTTTCATAGTGTTTTGAAAGTTACAGTGTCAAATGTAAGGCTTGAGATTTCACATTGAAATTTGCCAGATTGCTTATGTTGCCTTTGTGAACGTCTGGTATCCAAGGAATGAGAATCACCCCCCATGGTGGCATACCATTTGCAAAAGAAGACAACCCAAGGTATTGCAAATGAGGTATGTTCAGTCTTTTTTAGTAGCCACTTAGTCACAAACACTGGCCAAAGTTAGCATTCATAAATTGTTTTTTGCATTAACACACAAACAAATATAAATGCTAACTTTGGCCAGTGTTTGTGACTAAGTGGCTACTAAAAAAGACTGGACATACCACATATTGAATACCCTGGGTTGCCTACTTTAAAAAAATATGTACATGTAAGGTGTGATTCAGAGATTTATGACAGATAACAGTTTTACAATGTCACTATTGATAAATTTAATATATATATTGAAACAGCAATGTCCTACTTGTACTTACAGCCCTATAACTTGCAAAAAAAAGCTAAGACCATGTTAAGATTGAGTATTCCTAAACTCAGGACAAAATTTAGAAACTATTTAGCACAGGTGTTTTTTGGCAGTTGTAGATGCGTAACAGATAAGAGTGTGTTTTCTTTTTTTTCCATTATATTATATAAAAAAAGTTTTATAGTAAATTATAGGATATTATGAAAATAATGGTATCTTTACAAAAACCATTTAATGGCGAGAAACACGGTATATAATAATATTACAGCTAAACACAAACACCAAAAAAAAAAAAAACAGTCACTAAGGGGTTAATTTGGTATCAGTATGTGGGATTGTCATATTTATAGGATACTAAATTAGGGGACAAATAGCTGCAGGTGACAGCAGCCAATAGCAATTTTCATGTGTCTATATACAGGGACGGACTGACAATAGCCTGGGCCCCTGGGCAAAATTACGACCCAGGCCCCCTGCACACCAATATATATGCTGGTGTAGATGTACCGTGTATTTGATTGTATGTGCATGTGAAGTGAATGTAAGCTTCTGTGTGTATTCCCTCTGTGTCATGGTGTAAGTGAATATATGTATGTCATTGTGTGTCGTGCCAGGATATGTGGAATCAGTATAGTTAAAGGGAAACTATAGTGCCAGAAAACCAAATTATTTTCCTGGCACTATAGCTCCCCACAGTTAAAAACCCCTTCTGTCACGTACCTGATTCTAGTGCCGCTGTTGCCCGGTGCTGGTTCAGACTATCTTGCACGTTCGTATTAGGACTTTCCCTGTAGGAAAGCATTGTATGATGCGGTCCTATGGAGGTTTGGGTAACGCTGGATGCCTTCATGCATAGCGTGACCAAAAGTCGCCTAACCACTCAGAAGTCCCTCTAGTGTCTGTCTAGAGATGGAGTTTACCCTTAAAAAGGTAATTATTGCAGTTTATCAAAAAACTGCAATAATTATCATTGCAGGATTAAAGGACACTGCGCCCAGACCACCTCAATGAGCTGAAATGGTCCGGCTGTCTATAGTATCCCTTTAATTATATTTAAATGACTTAAGAGACCACAGTAGTAATCACAGGGGGGATAGTATGTATAGGGGAGGGTTAGTGGCCATAGTGGATGCTGGGGGATAAAGGTCATAGTGGGTGGAGTGGTTAATAGGGGCTGTAGTGTGTGCAGGAGACATGTGGGCTGCAGTAGGGGCAAGGAGATGAATGCTGCAAAGGATGCCAGTGGTATAGGAGCTGTAGTGAGGACATGGAGTAATTGAGACTCTAGTGGGGATAATAGGGGCTATTGTGGGGGTAAGGGAAAATAGGGGACTATAGTGGAGGTATGGGGTAATATACGTTCTAGTGGGTGCAGAGGAGGGATAGGGGCTGTGGTAGGTGCAGGGGAGTGACAAGTGTTGTAGTAGGTACAGAGAGCAATAGACGCAGTAGTAGATGCACTTGAAATTGGCTGTAGTGGGTACAGGGATGCATAGGCGCTATATAGGGTTTTAGTAGATGCAGGGGTATAAGGGCTGTAGGGGATATAGGGGCTGCACAGGGAACATGAGCTGTAGTCGGTGCAGGGGGTTACAGAAGCTGTAGTAACTGTAGGGGGTAATGGAGCTGTAGTAGGTGCAGGGGCTGTATTGGGTAGAGGTGCTGTAGGTGGTGCAGGGTGTATTGGAGCTTTAAGGAGTAGAGGAGCTGTAGGTGCTAGAAGGGTTGGAAGGTGTGTAGGGGTTGTAGTAGGTAGTGGGGCTTTAGGGGGGCAAAGAGGCTTGATGGGGCAGAGGGCCTTAAGTGGTAATGGAGTTATAGGGGCTTTAGAGGGTAGTGGGGTTTTAGGGGCAGAGGGACTTTATGGGGCAAAGGGGTGCAGTTATTTTAGATGCTCTAGGAAGTATATGGGCTGTAGAGGGTACAGGGCTTACAAGGGGTAGTGGGGCTGTGAGTGGGAGGGGGAGGGTTAGAGGACCTGTAGGGGCTAGTAAGGCTGTAGGTGGGTAGAAGGCTTGTAGGGGGTAGTGTGGCTCTTGGGGTGGAGGGCTTAGAGGGGGTAGTGGGGCTGTAGGGTATAGAGAGCTTGTAGAGAGTAGTGGGGCAATAGGCTGTAGAGGGTACAGGGCCTTATTGGGGGTGGAGAGGCTGTAGGGGGTAGAGGGCTTGTAGGTGGTAGTGGTGGCTGTAGAAGGTACAGGGCTTATTGGGGTAATGGGGGTTAGAGGGCTTATAGGGGTAGTGGGTGTCAGGGCTTACCTGAATGGGAGTCTGTAGCGCAGATATATGTGCTCACCCTTGCAAGTAAACACAGGCCAGGGTGGTCAGGTAAGAATTCACCTGGCCTGTGAGTCGGTGCACGGGGGCTGTGCAGGATGATGCTCCAAGTCGCAGTGCAGATACGGACATAAAGAGGAGAATCGTCGTTGGTAAGCCAAAGGTCAGTGGGTGCCAGAAATCAGGATAAACCAGTAGAGAGCCAAGGTCAGAGGATGCCAGAAGTCAGGGTACACAAAATAACAAGCCAAGCTCAGGAATCAACAGGCGAACACGAAACAGCAATACTTGAACAGAGTCAATAAACTGACACTGCCCTCAGGGAGAGACAGTGTCTTATACCTGGCTAATCAGTGATCAGCCACAGGTGAACCATGAGTGACAGGAGCAGTCTCAGATAACGTCCAGCCCCCAGTGCTGGATACAAGGCAAGAGTAGACTTCTGGATATTTCTTCAGCTGTATGGTGGTTCAGAGGCAAAAACAGCAGCCCCAGGACTGCAGAGTATTCAGGTTCAAATCTTCTATTGGGCACTTCTGGGGCGACCTCATCTGGATGTCGCGGTAAGAACCATGACAGTGGGACTGTAGGGGGTAAAGGACATATAGGGGGTAGTGGGCTGATTATTTAAACATTTAATAAAAAATGATTCCCCTCCCTGAGCCTCTGCGACTTACCTGTGGCATGCTGTTGCAGACTCTGCTTGCTGTCTGTAACACAGATCAGGCAGCTCCACACGGCTCCCTGAGCCCCCCAGAGCTGCTGGCCCTCGCTCCATGACCGATTTGCCTGAGTGCTCAGTCCGCCCCTGTCTATATTTGAACTGCTCTTTCTAGCCTGTCATTCTTCTTGCTGCACACTTATTTCCCTATTGTGTATTATTGATTCTGAACTGACTCTATTTTGAATATTTTGAACTCTATATAACTTTACTTGTCTTGATTGAACTTTCTGCTTTATGTATTTTATCTGTGAATTCAGATTAGAGCATAAGAAACAAGAAATTGCTGGATTTCAAGTGGACAAAGATGCTTGCTGGTGAACATCCAGTCACCATAGGGAAGGGTAAAATGCTGACCAGAACAGCATTTAAACAGTGGAGAGGGGCGAACTCCCCATACCCTCCTTGAAAGCTGACCATATTGCTTCCTTATCTGCACCTATCACTGAGGAAGAAGTCAGGGAATGCATTAAGGGCCTGCCAAAAGGGAAAGCACCAGGACCAGACGGGTAAACAAATCTTTACTACGCAACATTTCGGGAAATACAGGTTTCATTCCTAGCACAACTCTTCAATGCACCATTAGAGTCAGGGAAGCTTATCAATGAGTTTCTGTCACCCCACGTCATAACATTACCCAAGCCAGGCAAACCCCCTACCCATTGCAAAAACTTTAAGCCCATTTCTCTGCTCAATGCATATGCCAAGCTCTTCGCTTAAATCCATGCAGAATGACTGAAGTTAATAATTCCACACCCGATTATGGATGACCAGGTCGGCTTTGACCGAGGCCAACAAGGATCTGACAACACTAGGAAAGTGTATGTAAGGGAGAGCATAAGGGGGGACTTATGCTCTCCCTTGATGCCGAGAAGGAATTGGCAATTCCTGGAGGAGACCTTGAGAAGGTTTAACTTTCCAGACAGATTTTTGGTGGCGGTACGAGTACTATAGAGCTCACCATCAGCAAAAGTACTAAACACGGGATTTGATCAGATCCATTCCGAATCACCAATGGGACCAGGCAAGGGTGCCTTCTTTCACCGCTTTTCTATGTGCTTGCCTTGGAACCATTGGCAATAGCGGTGAGACAGAATACCAATATACATCAGTGTCGAGGATAAAGAATACAAATAAAATTTATTCACGGACGACATATTACTGACCCTGACACAGCCACTTATCTCCCTACCTAACTTACAAACTGAACTTCAGACGTACGACACACTATCATACTGCAAATTAAACATTTCAAAGACCCAAGCTTTGGGTGTAAAAACTCCTAAATGCCTCCTTGACTGACTTAAGGCGTCATTTAGCTTTGACTGGAGGACAAAGCTCACATTCCTGGGTGTTAAAATTCCCAGCAACCCTCAAGCAATATTTAAATTGAACTTCCAAAAGCTGTATACTAAAATCGATCAAACCTTGAAGAACTGGGAGGGGAAATACCTCTAATGGGTGGGCAGGTGTGCCGCCATAACAACTTTCATATACGAACGCAACTCAACCTTTAATTATAAAACATGGGCACGGTGAGGAATACACTACCTATATCAATTCTAGTCAGGCTCAGCCATGATGTCCCCCTCAACACTGCAGACACATTGCAATATAAATAAGAACATGCTATTCTCGTTCATGCAACTCAAGAGTATTATTTCCCCTAAAGCACCCACCTTACCAACTGGCACAATAAACATGGTCATGACCCCTTTTGAAAAAAATGTGTACATGACAACTCTTGCAGAGAAAAGTCCTCTCTTTATGTTACACGCTAATTGACACACTAAGCAAGGACAATGTATAGGCATTCGAAAAAGCCTGGGAAACAGATCTTGGGGGGAACAGAGCAATGGCAGTCAGCATATAAAACTCATAGGGGACTTTCCTCCTGTGCATCACATCTAGAAACAACGAGGAAGCTGTTGTACTGATGGTACCTAGTCCCACATAAGCTAGCGCAACCTTATATCCCAATGTGAGTAAGGTAAGCTGGAGATACAACACGGACACAGACACTATGCTACACATATGGTGGACCTGCCCCACACTACAAAACTACTGGCAGGACGTAGGTGACATGATTACACAATGCACAAGACACCAGATACCACCAGATCCACACACATTCCTAGTGTATATTTTGCCTGAGGGTCTGCCAAAAGTTGTCGCTAAGTTCATGTATCTAATACTCACCGCTGCAGCATTACTACTAGCTAGAAGATGGAAAACAGTCAATGTACCAATGATGACAGAGCTTAAACAACAAATCTCCACAAATATATCCTATAAATGAATGGTGCTCACCCAAATGCAAAGAGGTGTAGCAACGAAAGAAATGGCAGATTTACAATTCAGAAAAACAAACTGAAAACTTGTGAATTCGGAACAGGCTAGGACAGTACTTTCTCTCCCAACTGACCCCCCCCCCCTCACCCCTAACAAAGTTCCTGGTTCTCCCTCCTATCCTACGCCTACCACCCCCCCTCCCACTCCCATGTTTATACACTTTGTAACAGATACGACCAGGGAGCAGTTCACAACATAGTTACACATAGGGCACTAGAGATCAGCAATATAGGTGCAGAGACATGGTAACCGAGAGGTGTTAACTACGAGATCTAACGGGCCCATTATAAGGTGCTATGTATAACCTGCAATATAAAACATAACCGTAGACAGAATTCATGTGTATATAACTAATCATCTAATGTTAAAGGAACACTATAGGGTCAGGAACATAAACATGTATTCCTGACCCTATAGTGTTAACACCACCATCTAGCCCCCCATGCCTCCATAAATATTAAATCTTACTGTTTTCAAGCCAGAAGCTGTAGCTCTGCATGCTGTTTGCCTAACAAAAAAAACAAAAAAACAGTCTGCTGACATCATCAGAAGTGGTAGCCTGATCCAATCACAATGCTTCCCCATAGGATTGGCTAAGACTGACAAGGAGGCAGATCAGGGGCAGAGCCAGCATGATTCAAACACAGCCCTGGCCAATCAGCATCTTCTCATAGAGATTAATTGAATCAATTAATCTCTATGAGGAAAGTTCAGTGTCTGCATGCAGAGGGAGGAGATACTGACTCATAGGATGCTGTGCACATTGCTGCCCTGTGCTCTGCTGACAGCAGATCTGAATGGATTGAGGAGTTTTGTGCCTCAATCAACTCAGAAGTCTGTCTGGTGGCATTCTGAGTGACTGCAACTGGAGGTGTTCCTAGTTTTCAATGTAAACACTGTATTTTCTCGGAAAATACAGTGTTTACATGAGAAAGGCTGCAGGGAGCTATAGTTCTCACCTGAACAACCTCAATAAGCTAAAGTTGTTCAGGTGACTATAGTGTCCCTTTAATTTGGATATACAAGCTCACCAGACAAGTGAAATAGGTGACTAGAGAGGTTACAAAACAATAAAAGTTGTTACTGTACTTTATGTGTAAACATGCCGTCTAGATCTGTTTTCTATATTTCTTTGTAAGTGACAAAAAACAATAAACTACAAATTGGAAATTTACCCAATTGGAGTATTGGATTACTTAGATTACTGAAAAAATCTGCACTTTTCCTCATGTTACCTCTATTAAAAATTACTTCAGCAGAGTAAACTAAATATTGATCTACTGTTAGAGAAGGTAATACTATACCACCAAATTTTCTTCTTATAGGTGCCTATTTTTACCCTAATCCCTCAATAAAACTTACACCAATGTGGTTAAACTATATTAAATATATTTTGTCACTCTTTCTACCTTAGTATTAGAAGGCATGCATTGTTCTCTAAAGTTACACGGGATATATCATTTAGCAGTTTGCATTGCTATTGAAAACTGCAGTTCATGGATGTAAGTACTATTAGTCACGAGTGCACGATTATTTAATAAAAAAAATAGATGTTGTTCATTCTGAATTACCCAAATAATATTGGAAGAGCAAAATTCTTACTGTTATATATGGATTGTAAAAAACAATTTGTAAAAATACTCTAAAAAGTCCCTAAACTCCAAAACAGCGCCACGGTATATAAAAAAAACTGCAAGAAAGGGACAAATAGATATCACAAGATACATGTAGTGTTAAAATGTCAAGTGCAACATTAAAAATGCACTCACAAAGGTAAAAAAAAATATTAATAGAGCATATCACCATCTCTCCATGGTAACCAAGGCACAACTCTTAATGTAATTTATATCAAGTGAAAATCTTTACTTAGTGGACGAAAATTAAAGGGAAAGAATAGCCACAATATTGCAGTAATGCTAGTGCACCATACCAGATTAAGAAAAATACTTACAAACAAAAAGTTAAATAGCAAATTGTCTCCTATATACACTGAATTAGGGAATTTTTAATTTCGGTATTTCCTATCTGATTAGTCTATGTGGTACTTTAACTTTTTATGTTCAAACATTTACCATGTTTATACCCTATTAGTTGTTCATTTAATTATCCTATCACTCATTGATGACAACTAATGAAATCATTCTTAACTTGTCAAATAGTTCATTCATACTCTATTTGAATTATCATACTGGCCATCTCAACACCAAACAAGCATTTAGTATACAGACTTCTTCAGGGTTGTTAAATGTCCCATCTAAGATGGCTGTCACAAAAAAAAATGGGTACTCTTCTCTCTGCTCCAAATTCTACAATCTGTGGTCACATCCTCTGCAGCATCCATATTTATATGGCCTAATTATCAGTCAAATGGGATCAGGCTGAGTACACAACATAAACCGTCAAATTTATTTAA